ACAATGACCCAAAACACACGGCCAAGGCAACAAAGGAGTGGCTAAAGAGAAGAAGCACATTAAGGTCCTGGAGTGGCCTAGCCAGTCTCCAGACCTTAATCCGATAGAAAATCTGTGGAGGGAGCTGAAGGTTCGTGTTGCCAAACGTCAGCCTCGAAACCTTAATGACTTGGAGAAGATCTGCAAAGAGGAGTGGGACAAAATCCCTCCTGAGATGTGTGCAAACCTGGTGGCCAACTACAAGAAACGTCTGACCTCTGTGATTGCCAACAAGGGTTTTGCCACCAAGTACTAAGTCATATTTTGCAGAGGGCTCAAATACTTATTTCCCTCATAAAAATGCAAATCAATTTATAACAAATTTTGACATGCGTTTTTCTCCATTTTGTTGTTGTTATTCTGTCTCTCACTGTTCAAATAAACCTATCATTAAAATTATAGACTGATCATTTCTTTGTCAGTGGGCAAACGTAAAAAATCAGCAGGGGATCAAATACTTTTTTCCCTCACTGTATATACATGTCTAGCGAGTTCAACCGAGTCGTAGACGTAATCTTTGGAGGCAACACATTTATTGATACCAGCACAAAGGGGTAACTGCCCCTTTACCAGATAGCAACCTATGGTGGTGGACCACCAGGCTAACCACACACTACGGTGGTGGACTACCAGGCTAACCACACACTACGGTGGTGGACCACCAGGCTAACCACACACTACGGTGGTGGACCACCAGGCTAACCACACACTACGGTGGTGGACCACGAGGCTAACCACACACTATGGTGGTGGACCACGAGGCTAACCACACACTATGGTGGTGGACCACGAGGCTAACCACACACTATGGTGGTGGACCACGAGGCTAACCACACACTATGGTGGTGGACCACGAGGCTAACCACACACTATGGTGGTGGACCACGAGGCTAACCACACACTATGGTGGTGGACCACGAGGCTAACCACACACTATGGTGGTGGACCACGAGGCTAACCACACACTATGGTGGTGGACCACCAGGCTAACTATACACTATGGTGGTGGACCACGAGGCTAACCACACACTATGGTGGTGGACCACGAGGCTAACTATACACTATCGTGGTGGACCACCAGGCTAACTACACACTATGGTGGTAGACCACCAGGCTAACTACACACTATGGTGGTGGACCACGAGGCTAACTACACACTATGGTGGTGGACCACCAGGCTAACTATACACTATAGTGGTGGACCACGAGGCTAACCACACACTATGGTGGTGGACCACGAGGCTAACTATACACTATCGATGGTAGACCACCAGGCTAACTACACACTATGGTGGTGGACCACCAGGCTAACTACACACTATCGTGGTGGACCACGAGGCTAACTACACACTATGGTGGTGGACCACCAGGCTAACTACACACTATGGTGGTGGACCACGAGGCTAACTACACACTATGGTGCTGGACCACCAGGCTAACTACACTAATTACACTGCTGGGAGTAGCTACAACGGACAGGACCCCGGCTTGGGTCCAGGTCCACGTGTTGGTGACTCTTCTCGGACGTAGAACGTAGAACATAGATTCTTCAGGATAACCACAGCAGCCGGTCCCACTCAGGAAGCCGGCTTATATCTTCGTCTGTGGTGTGGCTGGCTCCGCCCTTAACCACGACCACCTTCGAGAACTCTCGTTTTGCCCACTGACAAAGAAATGATCAGTCTATAATTTTAATGGTAGGTTTATTTGAACAGTGACAGACAGAATAACAACAAAATCCAGAAAAACGCATGTCAAAAATGTTATGAATTGATTTGCATTTTAATGAGGGAAATAAGTTTGACCCCCTCTCAATCAGAAAGATTTCTGGCTCCCAGGTGTCTTTTATACAGGTAACGAGCTGAGATTTGGAGCACTCTTAAAGGGAGTGCTCCTAATCTCAGCTTGTTACCTGTATAAAAGACACCTGTCCACAGAAGCAATCAATCAGATTCCAAAATCTCCACCATGGCCAAGACCAAAGAGCTCTCCAAGGATGTCAGGGACAAGATTGTAGACCTACACAAGGCTGGAATGGGCTACAAGACCATTGCCAAGCAGCTTGGTGAGAAGGTGACAACAGTTGGTGCGATTAGTCGCAAATGGAAGAAACACAAAAAAACTGTCAATCTCCATCGGCCTGGGGCTCCATGCAAGATCTCACCTCGTGGAGTGCAATGATCATGAGAACGGTGAGGAATCAGCCCAGAACTACACGGGAGGATCTTGTCAATGATGTCAAGGCAGCTGTGACCATAAGCACCAATAAAATAATTGTTAACACACTACGCCGTGAAGGACTGAAATCCTGCAGTGCCCGCAAGGTCCCCCTGCTCAAGAAAGCACATATACATGCCCGTCTGAAGTTTTCCAATGAACGTCTGAATGATTCAGAGGAGAACTGGGTGAAAGTGTTGTGGTCAGATGAGACCAAAATGGAGCTCTTTGGCATCAACTAAACTCGCCGTGTTTGGAGGAGGAGGAATGCTGCCTATGACCCCAAGAACACCATCCCCACCGTTAAACATGGAGGTGGAAACATTATGCTTTGGGGGTGTTTTTCTGCTAAGGGGATAGGACAACTTCACCTGCATCAACGGGATGATGGACGGGGCCATGTACCGTCAAATCTTGGGTGAGAACCTCCTTCCTTCAGCCAGGGCATTAAAAATGGGTCGTGGATGGGTATTCCAGCATGACAATGACCCAAAACACACGGCCAAGGCAACAAAGGAGTGGCTCAAGAGAAGAAGCACATTAAGGTCCTGGAGTGGCCTAGCCAGTCTCCAGACCTTAATCCGATAGAAAATCTGTGGAGGGAGCTGAAGGTTCGTGTTGCCAAACGTCAGCCTCGAAACCTTAATGACTTGGAGAAGATCTGCAAAGAGGAGTGGGACAAAATCCCTCCTGAGATGTGTGCAAACCTGGTGGCCAACTACAAGAAACGTCTGACCTCTGTGATTGCCAACAAGGGTTTTGCCACCAAGTACTAAGTCATATTTTGCAGAGGGCTCAAATACTTATTTCCCTCATAAAAATGCAAATCAATTTATAACAAATTTTGACATGCGTTTTTCTCCATTTTGTTGTTGTTATTCTGTCTCTCACTGTTCAAATAAACCTATCATTAAAATTATAGACTGATCATTTCTTTGTCAGTGGGCAAACGTAAAAAATCAGCAGGGGATCAAATACTTTTTTCCCTCACTGTATATACATGTCTAGCGAGTTCAACCGAGTCGTAGACGTAATCTTTGGAGGCAACACATTTATTGATACCAGCACAAAGGGGTAACTGCCCCTTTACCAGATAGCAACCTATGGTGGTGGACCACCAGGCTAACCACACACTACGGTGGTGGACTACCAGGCTAACCACACACTACGGTGGTGGACCACCAGGCTAACCACACACTACGGTGGTGGACCACCAGGCTAACCACACACTACGGTGGTGGACCACGAGGCTAACCACACACTATGGTGGTGGACCACGAGGCTAACCACACACTATGGTGGTGGACCACGAGGCTAACCACACACTATGGTGGTGGACCACGAGGCTAACCACACACTATGGTGGTGGACCACGAGGCTAACCACACACTATGGTGGTGGACCACGAGGCTAACCACACACTATGGTGGTGGACCACGAGGCTAACCACACACTATGGTGGTGGACCACGAGGCTAACCACACACTATGGTGGTGGACCACGAGGCTAACCACACACTATGGTGGTGGACCACGAGGCTAACCACACACTATGGTGGTGGACCACCAGGCTAACTATACACTATGGTGGTGGACCACGAGGCTAACCACACACTATGGTGGTGGACCACGAGGCTAACTATACACTATCGTGGTGGACCACCAGGCTAACTACACACTATGGTGGTAGACCACCAGGCTAACTACACACTATGGTGGTGGACCACGAGGCTAACTACACACTATGGTGGTGGACCACCAGGCTAACTATACACTATAGTGGTGGACCACGAGGCTAACCACACACTATGGTGGTGGACCACGAGGCTAACTATACACTATCGATGGTAGACCACCAGGCTAACTACACACTATGGTGGTGGACCACCAGGCTAACTACACACTATCGTGGTGGACCACGAGGCTAACTACACACTATGGTGGTGGACCACCAGGCTAACTACACACTATGGTGGTGGACCACGAGGCTAACTACACACTATGGTGCTGGACCACCAGGCTAACTACACTAATTACACTGCTGGGAGTAGCTACAACGGACAGGACCCCGGCTTGGGTCCAGGTCCACGTGTTGGTGACTCTTCTCGGACGTAGAACGTAGAACATAGATTCTTCAGGATAACCACAGCAGCCGGTCCCACTCAGGAAGCCGGCTTATATCTTCGTCTGTGGTGTGGCTGGCTCCGCCCTTAACCACGACCACCTTCGAGAACTCTCAAGCGGGATCTCGGTCCTGACACGTGCCCACCCCGAGCCCCCACCGGGGGGCCCTGTGTAGACTTTACCGGTCACGTGTCCTTCGGGGTCAACCAGAGTGCCATGGCCCTTAGTAACCCCATTCCCACGGCCGGCACTCTCACACCCTATCCTGTAGGGGTCGGCACTGCAAGCAGAGCGTGGTGCCACCAAGCCCCTCTAGGTACTGCACCCACGTTTGAGTGGTTCCCGCGATGTCGCTACATCGCGCGCCGTGCCTCTCTCGGGCCGGCATTACACGGTGACGTCCGCGATGCCACTACACATGGAAGATGCCATGCTGTCATTGTTAGCACTGGACTTGCAATCCAGAGGTCACACGGTTTGAACTCCCAGTGCGAGAGTTGAAACAACAGCATCGCACGCTTCTTAAAGTAAGCCCCCCCCCACCACCACCTCCCCACCCCTCCCGCCCCCCACCTCCCGCCCCCCCACCCCACCCACCCACCCCTCCACACACACACACACCTCTTTGCTGTCGAACACGTGGACGAGGTAGTCATCGGCGGTGACCCGGACGTACTTCTCCCTCCACTTCTTGCCGTCCTCGAGCATCAGCAGAGAGCCGTCGCCGACCGGCCGCTCCTTCATCGCTTGCTGCATGACGCCGCACGACGAGCACAAACGCAAAGGGGGGGGGGGGGGGGGGGAAGGGTCCCGTTATGCACACGCACAAAGCGCTCGCCCGCAGACGGACCGCGACGCCCCCCCTAGCCGACCACGTCGAAATGAACTTTCAAACACCAAAAAAAGAAAGAGAAAAAAAAATCGCCACGCGCAAAAAAAAAAACTCCAGTCCCATCATCGCCAGCGGTGGCTTGCTTTTTTTTTTTCCTTCCCTCCCTCTTCATCGGCTGCCCGTCGGACAAAGGCGGTCGCAGTAATCGCTCGCGCTTTCAGACGCGCTTCCGCGGCCGTCCGGAAACGCTCTTCCTTCCGATATTCGGCAGCCATTGGGAGCTGCGTGCTTTGAAAAAAAAAAAAAAAAAATCACCGTCCAGATGGACAAACTCGCTTCTTGAGAACTGCTTCTTGTTGTTGTCGCGTCAGGTTCGTTTGTCCTTCGACCCGCACCTCCGATTATCACGGTTGGCTTCGTACGGCGCGAAGTTCAACGCACGTACGCAGCTGGGCAAAACTCCGGTCGCCCGTGCAGGGCTCCGCACGGGAACACCTTTCTGGGGGGCAAGCGCTGGGGCTGGGGAAAAGGTAAAGGCGCAGCCCTGCAATAGCCACAGCTCCACTTGCCAGATGAAGGCCTTCCCAAGCGGTCACCAAAGATCCCCCGTGTAGCCTTAAGACTGTCGGGGCAAGTGCTGTTGGCGAACAGCAGCTATGAAGGCCGGCACGGCACAACGAGGGGGCTGGGTGGCCATCACCACGCCCGCCCGCCTTTGCCTTCCAACTGGCCCTGTTTTAGACACCGCAACGGGTTCTCATTTTAGGCCGAGTCGACCTAGGGGAGGCCCAGGACCGGTTCAGATAATCATCACCGTTGTTCGCCATGAGCGGGAATCCAACTCGGGTCAGCGGGTTTGTTGCGCACTCCGCTAACTGCTGCGCCACCGCTCCCCACGCTCACACTCGTGCGCGCACACGCGCAACAACTGTCGTCATTCGCCAATAAGTGGTGGTGACGTCAGCACGGCACTTGTGCCAGGCCTTTGAGGCTTTGAGGCCACGTGAAGTGTCGAAGCCTCCGCCGACAGATCCAGGTGGTGCCATGGGTTGGCCGACTGAGATGACTGGCAGATGTACCAAGCTGTGCTCCAACTACTGTGGACAACTTTCCTTGCACACACAGGCACACAAAGACAAAGATCCCCCCCGGTATAGCCTTAACAGCCTGAAGGGGCAGGTGCTGTCAGTGAGCACCTATGAAGGCCGGAACGGTACACGAGGGGGTGGCCAACACCACGCCCGACCGCCTTTGTCTCCCAAGCAGTGATGTTTACACATTGCACCAGGTACTCATTTGAGGCTGAGTCGACCTAGATGGAGGCCCAGGACCGGTTCAGACAATCGTCACTGGTATTGACCGCGAGTGGGAATCGAACTCGGGTCGCCGGATTCGTAGTGCAGTGTAGCGCTAACCGCCATGCTACCGTTCCCCCCCCCCACACAGACACATACACACACAGACACACACAGACACAACAACAACCGCCATTCGCGACTAAGTGGCGGTGACGTCACCACGACGCTTGTGCCAGGCCATGTGCACCTTGAGGCCACAGGCACACGCATGGATACACGCGTGTGCCTGTGGCCAGCTCCCACTCTCCCGCATCTCGTGGCGAAGCCAGCAACGGAAATAAATGAAATTTTACAGGGCCACCTACTGCTGTAGTAACGAGCAACGTGTTGTGAGTCAGGCTCCAAACTTGACCATACTTGACCACGTTCGGACAGTGCAGGTTGGTTGGTTGAGGCCCAAGGACCGGGTTAGCCGCGGCCAGGAATTGAACTCCGGGTTCAACCACAATTCCTATGCCAGGAAATGATTGCATGACAACGACATTTCCCTTGTTAATCCAGGAAAGCCTCACCGAGTCTCAGGACTCTTGAAAGGAGGTGGCGGTGAACTCCATTTGCACTGCCGGGTGAACAGAGGTGAAGCAGGGGGGGGGGGGGGGGGGGGGCGGAGGCAAATTAAAGAAACCTGCACCGTTGCTTAAGCTGCCCCGACGGGAGATCCAATCTCTGGATTGCAGTCCAGCTGAGCTATAAAAACTAAACTCTTTTTATTTTACCAGGTAAGGCCCATTGGACTATAAAGTTCTTTTCAAAAGCGACCTGGCCACAAATGATACGACGCGGCTTATCATCATCGTGTGGAAATCTATAGCAGCCAAATTCCTTAGAACGCGTGACGTCGATTCGAAATGTGGAGAGAAAAACCGGAGGGACTCTGAGAAAATCCACACCACCACGAGGAGAGAGAGAGAGAGAGACATGCAAACTCCAAATATACAGCAGGCATCAGGGTCGGGATCGAACCCACGACTGCCTGCATACCAGGCGAGGCAGTTAACATCTCATAGCCACCGTGGCGCCCCCAGCTGAATGATCAGCCGACCAAGCAAACCGCTCTCGACATCCGCAGGACTTAAATCGCCCGAAACTGCTTTGTCAGAGTCTGAGCAAATAGTTTCACTGCCTGGGACGTAGCTAAAGTACGACCACGCCCCCCCCATGGCAGAGCCCCGCCCATTTCCTGCTTAGCTCCACCCCCGAGCCACCCACAGTGGGATTGTGAAGACCAAATCGCGAGATTGTGCAAACCTGCGGAGTAGATCAAACCGTTTGAGAGTCGAGACTTTTGCGTCTCCCGTTAAACGGGAAACCAGTTTGCAACAACTTCGTTGCATGCAACTCAACCGGTCTCCTCCCTGGCCTGGACCACACCTATGTCTTGACACCTATGCCCTCCTGACTAACAAAACCCCGAGGGGCTCACATGATCAGTGAGGTCCGCTGGGCTTGTTTCCCACTAGTGCGAGCAACAACAACAAAAACCGCCTGCCAAACGTCCTCGAGGATGGAAACGCGAAGCAGCAGCAGCAGCAGCAGTGGCGCGGCGGCAGCGGCGGAGGACATTCCGACATCTGTTTTTCGCCCGGGGGCCAAGGAGAGAGACCCAAACTCGGCGGGATTTTTTTTTTTCCCCGGGCCAGTGGGGCGGCTTCCCGCGAGGGAGCCAAGGCCGGATTATTGACGTGATTATTGAGGTGATTATTGACGTGATCGCGGCGCGCGGGGGTGGGAGCAGGGGAAAGGATGTCCAAGGGCGGAGGAGCTAAACGAGGAAGACAAACCATGTAGACGCATGGACTCCGTCCCGCTTTTACGGTCAAGGAAATTGTTTTTTTTTTTACTGCACGCAGAATTGCCGGGCACGTAAGCCCAAAGTGAATTAGCGGCCAGCAACGAACAGCACCACCCGAAGGTGCAATAGTTCACAAATAAGAATAAGTTGCTCGAGTTGAGCGAAAGTTATTGCTTTAGCTAAAGAGATGATGGCAGGGAATTCCAAAGCGTTGCGACCTGCAGTGTGACGAGTGAGTAGGTTAGTGAGTGAGTTGAGTAAGGTGGTGAGTGAGTGGGTTGATGAGCGAGTAAGGTGGCGAGTGTATTAGTGAGTGGGTTAGTAAGTGAGTTGAGTAAGGTGATGAGCGAGTGGGTTAGTAAGTGAGTTGAGTAAGGTGATGAGCGAGTGGGTTGATGAGTGAGTTGAGTAAGGTGATGAGCGAGTGGGTTGATGAGTGAGTTGAGTAAGGTGGCGAGTGGATTAGTGAGTGGGTTAGTGAGTGAGATTGTGAGCGAGTTGGGTGGTGAGTGGGTTAGTGAGTGGGTTAGTGAGTGAGTAAGGTGGTGAACGAGTGGGTTAGCGAGTTGATGAGTAAGGTAAAGTGGTGAGTGAGTGGGTTAGCGAGTGGGTTGATGAGTAGGGTGGCAAGTGGGTTAGTGAGTGAGTTTAGTAAGGTGGTGAGCGAGTGGGTTAGTGAGTGAGTTGATGAGTAAGGTGGTGAGTGAGTGGGTTAGTGAATGAGCTAGTGAGTGAGCTGATGAGCGAGTTGGGTGGCGAGTGGGTTAGTGAGTGAGTTGATGAGTGAGTAAGGTGGTAAGGGAGTGGGTTATGAGCTAGTAAGGTAGTGAGTGAGTGGGTTAGTGAGTGGGTTCGTGAGCCAGCCGATGAGTTGGGTGGTGAGTGGGTTAGTGAGTGAGTTGAGTAAGGTGGTGAGCGAGTGGGTTAGTGAGTGAGTTGATGAGTAAGGTGGTGAGTGAGTGGGTTAGTGAATGAGCTAGTGAGTGAGCTGATGAGCGAGTTGGGTGGCGAGTGGGTTAGTGAGTGAGTTGATGAGTGAGTAAGGTGGTAAGGGAGTGGGTTATGAGCTAGTAAGGTAGTGAGTGAGTGGGTTAGTGAGTGGGTTGATGAGGTGGTGAGTGGGTTAATGAGTGGGTTCGTGAGCGAGCTGATGAGTTGGGTGGTGAGTGGGTTAGTGAGTGAGTGGGTTAGTGAGTGGGTTAGTGAGTGAGTTGATGAGCGAGTAAGGTGGTAAGTGGGGAGTGGTGGCATAGCGGTTAGCGCGCTCCGCTACAAACCCAGCCGACCGAGTTAAATTTCCGCTCATGGCCAACATCGGGTGACGATTATCCAAACCACTCCTGGGCCTCCCCTAGGTCGACTGAGCCTCAAAACGAGTAGTAAACATTGCCACTGGGGACACAAAGGAGGCCGGGAGTGGTGCTGGCAACCCATCCTCTCGTGTGCAGTCCAGGCTCTCATTTGGTGCTTGCCAACAGCCCTTGCCCCAACAGTCTGTTTAAGTCTACACGGGGGATCTTAGTCTTTATTACGACCTGCAGTGTGGTGGTGGTGGTGGTGGTTGAACACGGTATGGCTCACATCACTGGAGTCCCCAAGACAGGTGAAGGAATCCATGAGTGACGTTCACAGGAAACGGTCGCCGCGGTGGCAGAGTAGCAACGATAGGCGGGGGTGTGGGACAGAGCGAGCGAATCAAACAAGATGGGGAAGTGTGTCGTGACACCAGGCGCGGGATAATGCTGCGACGCTTTGCAACGCGCCCCTT